CCCTGGCTTGTACATGGCCATCTTCTCCTTGTGTCTTCACATAGTCTTCCTTCTGCGTGTCCATGTCCGAATCTCTTTCCATAAGGACACCAGTCACAGTGAATGAGAGCCCACCCTAATGGCCTCTTTTTAACTTAACTTTAAATGAACTCTTTAAAGGCCCTGCCTCCAAATATAGTCATTTTGAGGTTTGGGGCGGTAGGACTTTGACATTTAAATTTTGTGGGAACACAATTCAGCCCGTAATCTCATTTTTCTAGAAATATAGCAGTGTATCCACATCACTACCAACATGGTTCCAAGGCATTTCCAGGACTGTGATGGTCTTATGAGGGCCCCACATTCACACACTCACTTCTCATAATGGAAATATCATCATCATCTGTGTCCCCTCAACAGACTGGGCCACTGCCCTCCACTCCACTCAGGATTGCCAAGGGGCCTACTTCATGGCACCCATTGTAGAACAAGTAGAAACGCTTCCATGCTGGAGACAGCCCCTGAAATCCAGCCACTACGCCCCCATGGCTGGCACAGAATGAAGAGTTTCACGGTCACCCAAAGTTGTTTAGTTTGGCTCCTACTTATGAAGATCTAAAACTCTAAGCCCGATAATGTTCCTCCCACACAACAATACACTGCAAACACACCTGGCTTGGGGTTATGCTGATTTTGAGTTAATTAACTAAGTCTGAGTGTTAGTTGCAATTCAGTGGGTGCCACAGAAAGCTGGTAGGATCCTATTCTCCCATGCAACCAAATTCTGAATGCTAAGCGTGCCCATCACTCTACTCACAATGGCTGCCCACATATGGAATGTGTCCATTCAGGTTTCTTTACGGCCCAAGCTCACCCTCCCAAGGCCCTAACACCAAAGCACAGGAGAAGGCCATGGATTCCAGGCCCTCCCAGTTGTGTGCCAGGTGGCCTTGCATTGTCTTGACTCACAGACCAGAGAACCAGTGAGGAAGGAGACTGTATTTCATTTTTCTTTTTTTTTTCTAAGATTTTATTTATTTATTCATGAGCCACCCAGGTGTCCCAGATAATGATCTTGGTTTTGTTTATGGGCTTGTTTGTTTTTAGGGGGCAAAGGGGCAGATGTGCTAGAACAGTCCGGGAGAAAAAGGCTCCCAGCCCATAACTACCCTGGTGGCCTCTAGCTTGGGACTTCCACAGGCAGTGACCCATGCTTTAGGGCTCTAGAGGATCATGGCTTAATTGGAGGGGGCCACCATCTGTGCACAACCCCTGGGCCTGGCTTCTCTGAAATAGTGCAAGGGTGTGGGCCTGTATGGGACAGTGAGCAATAGAGGGTCTGTCTGGGGGAAGAGGCATTTTAGACCTGGTTTGCTTTTCAGATTGCTGATAGTTCTTCCAGGTTCTCCTTGGGGTCAGTCAGCTAACTGCCCTGAAATTGGAGCCCCACAGTGGACCACGGGGGTACCATTCACAGAACCCATAAGCTGTGCCTCAGGCCTGGTACCTCTGAGTCTAACTCAAGTATCATCGCAAACCAAAGGCAAACAGTTTCCACAGTATACTCTGAGGAACATACCATTTGTGTGACTTTGGACAAGTGCCAGAATGTCTCTGGATATCAGGTTTCTAAAAGGGGAGCTTATGAAGGTCAGAGCAAGGCCTTAGATGCCAAGGGCCATGCATGGAGCCTGGCACGTGGTACACCCTCCAAAGCTGTACTGAAGTTTGAGAAAACGCTACAGACAAGATCTTCGAGGATGTATGTGCCAGGCTGGTACATGCCAAGAGAGGAATTAAAAATAATAGCTGTGGATTTTTTTCTTATTTATTTATTTATTTATTTATTTATTTATTTATTTATTTATTTATTTAATTTATGATAGTCATCACAGAGAGAGAGAGAGAGAGAGAGAGAGAGAGAGAGAGGCAGAGACACAGGCAGAGGGAGAAGCAGGCTCCATGCAGGGAGCCCGACGTGGGATTCGATCCCGGGTCTCCAGGATCATGCCCTGGGCCAAAGGCAGGCGCCAAACCGCTGCGCCACCCAGGGATCCCTGTGGATTTTTTTCTTATTATAAAAGCAGTAGTTGGTCACTGTAAATTTTCTGGAAAATCTACCCACCCAGCCATAATTACTTTAACATTAGGGATTATATATTTCTGGTATTTTTTTCTGTGTATTTCTATATTTTATTTCTTTGTTTTATAAAAAAACAGAGACACTGCCCTTAGATGTTTGTACTCTGATTTTTCACCTAAAATTGTATTACACACGCTCATGTAATGAATAGGTTTTTTTTTTAAGGTTTTATTTATTTATTCATGAGAGACACACACAGAGAGAGAGACAGACAGAGACAGAGAGACAGAGACATAGGCAGAGGGAGAAGCAGGTTCCATGCAGGGAGCCCGATGTGGGACTCGATCCTGGGACTCCAGGATCACTCCCTGAGCTGAAGGCAGGTGCTAAACCTCTGGGCCACCCAGGCGTCCCTGAACAGTTTTTTTGAAGCATGAATAGTTGTGGTATAGCATTGTACTGTGTAGAAGCACTCAATGTAAAACAAAACAAAACAAAACAAAACAACAAAAAAAACCCCAACACATTAATTCCGGCTATTATTTTTTAATGGAATTGATGGACCATCATTGATTCTAAGGGTCAGATCTTAGAGGCAACTGTTAGCAAATTCCCTGGTAGAAGCAAAAATACTGTTGTCATTTGCATGGTGGGGTTCTATACATATGGACACATGTGGCACCTGCTACTTTCTAGAGGCTTATCAGAAAGGGGCGTGGGAGCATGGGTGGGTATATTTGGACCAGTTATATGTGGGGACCTATGAAGAAGGTGAGGAGCAGTTGCTCAGGGTGGGTAACTTGGCTGGAAGCACCAGTTATAAAGTGTACTGGCTATCCTTCTGGAGGGACCTCGGAAGAGGTGAGACAAAACTTCACATGACCAGTCCTGGCCTGTCAGAATTTGAAAACACTTGCATGGCTTGGGAACGTTTGTAAAAACTAATGACTTCATTACAAAATCCACTACTTTCGTCTAGAAGCTTGAGGGCAAGGACTGCCTCTACCATTTGCAGGCCCTGGAGGAAGAAAGAATCCACAAAGGGGAGACTTCAGCACGTGGCTGCCCTCTTCTCTTGCCATCTGGACCCAGCCAGCACCTGTGGGAGCCTCAGGTCCCTGGTCCATGTGTCCAAGTTCTTTCTGAGCTCCCTCCCCCGCTCGGCTACCTCTCTGACACTGAGGTATGCACAGCGGTGATCCACCTATGGAAGGTCGAGCAGTTAAGTGGCCATATGAGCCTTGATGTTGGCTTGGGGCCATTTGGCAGAGAGTTCCAATACCCTCAGTACTCAGAACCTAGTTTAGGAAGCAAAGTCTGAGCCAAGCCTAGAAAGGGACCCTTTAAAGTACAGGTGAGGGGATCCCTGGGTGGCGCAGCGGTTTAGCACCTGCCTTTGGCCCAGGGCGCGATCCTGGAGACCCAGGGTCGAATCCCATGTCGGGCTCCCTGTGCATGGAGCCTGCTTCTCCCTCTGCCTATGTCTCTGCCTCTCTCTCTCTGTGTGTGACTATCATAAATAAATAAAAATTAAAAAAAAATAAAATAAAGTACAGGTGAGGACAGAGGCCCCAGACCTCCAGCCTGAGGGCTATGAGAAGCCAGTGTCCCAGGTGGCCTGGGAGTGTGTGGGACAGTGATGGGTCCTCAGAGGCCTAGCTCCCTGTCCCGTTTGTCAAGGCCTGAGTCTGGGGAAGCTCAGGTACTGGCTGAGATGGAGGCTCCCACTAGGGTGGAAAGCAACACAAACCCACATTTCCCTCCAAAGGCAAAGGACACTTACTCGCTTTCAGCCCTAGAGACGGAGCTTGGAGAAACAGAAGTTTACACCTAACACTTCTCTGGAAGAACCCTCTTCAGTTACTTTATGTCAGTCCTTTTAAAACTGGTTCCCCCCCCCCTTTTTTTTTTTAAAGAGAAAATTCTTTTAGGACAACTCCTAGGAGTTGGAAGTAACGGGAAGAAACTATGGGACCTGAGGTACAGATGGTATGATTCACTTTGGCCTTCACCTGTGCTTTGAAGATTTGAAGTCTTCCCAGTGGGCTACTTTTCAGAAATTATGATGGTCAATAATGCAGCTTATTTTTAAATAATTAGAAAAATGGCCAAAAATGAAAATATTGCTAGAAATGTTTATGTTAAGGATTAACTCTGAGTTCACTTATGGATGAATAATGCTTTGGAGACTTAGTAGATGTTGTTCTAGTGGTTTTGTGAATGATGGGGTTTCAATGTGTTGATTTATTATCTTTCCATTTTTAGTAAAAGTTGATGCTCTGATTGCTGCAGGATATTGGCATTTCCTAAGGTATTAAATAATTGTGATTTTAACCACTGTACCTTCTGTGATTACCTCCTGCTGTTGGTAAATTTCAGCTGGAGAAGAAAACTCACCAAAGAGAATCAAGAGTACCCTGGGGCTGGTGCCTTACACTTGCGAAGAAGGCAGGAAACAAGCGAAGTTCTTGAAGGACTGTGACAAATGAGGGGCCTTTTAGACCTAAAGTGTTGAATTTCAGTCCAAAGGGAGTGACTGCCACTGGGGCTCCTACCATCTCGGAGATCTTATAACCTGAGATTGGGGGGAGAGCAGGGGGGCAATCAAGTGATTCCTTGAGAACTTGTTAAGTTGCAATTTAGTTAAGAAAATCCTCTATTTCAAAATCTAGAATAGAAAAAAAGCTTCCAGGATGCAAGGACTATCTTGTTCTGTTGCAATAGTGCCTCTACCATTTACTCAGTGCCAAGCACATTTAAGATATTTGTGGGAAAAAATGAAAAGGCAGTAGGGAGCACCTGGCGTGGGACTGGGAGTACAGCTGAGGGCAGGACCAGGGGAGGTGCACGGGACACTGGCCTTGGCTTGCTCTAATTCACCCCAACGGCCCTGCCAACGCAGGGCACAGTGATGAATGTCACTGCGGACGCCGTGGAACACGTTCACTTAGCTCCTGTTTAATTCAAGATTTTGAACATTTATACTTTTTTTTATACAAGTGCATGCAAAGTTACAAATATAGAAAATATAAAGTACATGCATATTTTGAAGACCATGTTGGATCTATCATACAAAACTATTCAATGAACATGTAAGCCTGAGGACCACGCAAAGGGTTTTCTACATATTAAGTATTTAGTACCTTACAAAACCAGGTGTGCATTAGATGTATCAGATGTTAACCCCTCTAACCGAAATTTCTAAGTTTGTCATACACAATACATGTATATATATAATAACTCTTTTTTTTTTTTTACATCAAATGCCCAGTGCAAGCCAGGAACATTGCAGAATGCTAAATTTATCTGCTAGGTGATGATATTGAACGATCTAGACAATAATTTCACCTTACTTAAATAACAATTAACAGAATTCCTTTTTTTCCACTCTGAGTGGATACTTCTGTCATCTCTGACCTAAGATATTTTTGTGGATGGCCTTCCATCTTTTGATTCAAAAACTGATTATAGAAACTAGGACTTAACATAATTCTGATTTTTGACAATTATGAGACAGCAAAGAAGAAGTGAGATCATTTTTGTCTACTAATCATTTTCTCTGTTATGCAATCCTCTAGGATAATGGTTATTTTAACAGCTGCACCTTACTCTAGGTCAGAATCATTCTGGTTTGCAGGTAAATGAGTAAAGATTTGCTCTCAGTGCCTAGAAGGCAGTTCAAATTTTTTTTTTTTTTACTGCCTTAATTATCTATAGTTTATGTTGTGAAAGAAAGGAATGCCACCTGTAGGTGCTTTAAATGTCCAAAATGGGAGCTTGCCTCCAGGGGCACCACTCCCAAGTGTGGGAATATTTTTTTTTTTTATCATTATCATTCTGTTGGTTACATTCATTCCCTATGAAAATATCCTCTGCCGGGGTCCAGTGTTGCATAAATATTTACACTTGATGCTATGGCTGCTGGGAGCCCACACTGCAAAATGCAAAACATCATCCCAGTTCTGTGCAGACGCAGGGCACATGCTCTCCGGCGGGCTGAGCCTGAATCCAAGAGCGAAGGATTTCTGGTTTTGTTTTTTGAATGAGTAGCACATGGCCTTCTTTCAAATTTGGCAGAAATGCTCTTTGAACAGGAAAATGCAATCAGGTGTTTTTGTTTTTGTTTTTTAACAGAAGACAGGCATTCCCCCAAGTTGCTATGAAATTACTGCTATAATGGGGCATTAGCATCCTGAGCTCTAGCTGGGGAAGGAGCCAGAGGTTTTTAGATAAAGGTTTTGAAGACTGTTTTGAGAATTGTTTAAGCCCCAATCTGGTGCACTAGACAAAAAAAAAAAAAAAAAAATTCAGCCTAGACCAACCAATGATTATTTGCTATTATTCTCAGCCCAACACTACTACTGGCCCCTGTAGGATTTAATCACAGAGGGGCTTGAATAAATAGCATCCTGGGTCTGCTCTATGTTTCCCAGCACCATCAGTGCCAAGGGTATTAGCCTATGGGTGCTAAAGAGAGAAGCGGGAATGAGACACCACCACTAAAGGGCTGTAGGTAGACACCCCCTCCCCCAACCTGTAAAAGATTAAGATGGTGCAGGGAATGGGAAGGCCCTCCTCATCCCACTATCAGGAGAATGAGCAGCGAGATGAGGAGGATCACGGGCGGCGGGGAGAAGAGGATGGCGCTTGCCCCTCTTTGGTAGTAAGCCTCAGACTCCTTCTGGTACTGGGTGACACACATCTGCTCCACCACACGCTCCATGATCTTCATGTCGGTCTCTGTGAAGTTCTCCCCCTTGGTGGTGGTGGTCACTGTGTGCTGCTTGACAGTGATGTTGACGCAGTCACGCACAAAGTTGTTCTGGTTGCTGTACTGATCCACTGGCCGGTAGTATACTTGGTCGGGGTAGCGGTACATGTTCTCACGATAGTAACGGTCTTCATAGTCATTGCCAAAATGAATGAGTGGCCTGCTCATGGCACTCCCTAGCATGTAGCCACCAAGGCCCCCTACTACCGCCCCGGCTGCTGCGGCTCCTGCCACATGCTTCATGTTGGTTTTGGGCTTATTGGGCTTGCCCCACTGACCGTGGCTGCCACCACCTTGACCCCAACCACCACCACCGTGTGGTTGTCCCCAGCCACCACCGTGGGGCTGTCCCCAGCCGCCACCGTGAGGCTGACCCCAGCCGCCACCATGGGGCTGACCCCAGCCACCACCGCCCTGGGGTGGGTAGCGGTTGCCTCCAGGGCTACCCTGGCCTGGGTATCGGCTCCCACCCCCTGTGTTCCATCCTCCAGGCTTCGGCCGCTTCTTGCAGAGGCCCACGTCACTCCATGTGGCCACAAAGAGAAGCAGGATCCAGCCGCCTATGTGGCTTTTCACCATGATGACTTATCTGCAAAACAAGAAGGGTGTCAGCATCCTACGTGTGCTGCATAATGAATGAATGCACAGCGAGAACATCTGCACATCGGTCACCAAGGCTTCCCACTCTCGTTTCTCCTTTGCGGCACTTACGACAAAATTTCAAATAAAGTGTTAACACAACTCTCTCTCCTTCTTAAGGACAAATTTGACCTTAAGATAATTTCTGGGGATCCCTGGGTGGCGCTGGGATCCCTGGGTGGCACAGCGGTTTGGCGCCTTTGGCCCGGGGCGCGATCCTGGAGACCTGGGATCGAATCCCACATCGGGCTCCCGGTGCATGGAGCCTGCTTCTCCCTCTGCCTGTGTCTCTGCCTCTCTCTCTCTCTCTCTCTCTCTCTCTCTCTGTGACTATCATAAGTAAATAAAAAAAAAAATTTAAAAAAAAGATAATTTCTGGCTCTATTTCCTGGAAACCTGATAAAGATGGAACGTCAGCACTGTTGCTTATGGTAAAAATAACCTGATTGATAAACTGCATCTGGGCTGGGTCTGCCATAGTTTCGAGTATCTTTAGGGCAGTGATTATTGTAACCAGCTATGTCCTTGTGGGGACCCTGGAAGCTGTGGCCACTGGACTGTCATAAGGGACACTGGCTCTTGTGGGGTCTGGGGCCTCTATACCAAGGGGAATCCTTTATTCACCAATATGGGGTCATTCACTTGAGCAGCCACTCTTGGGGGCTGGGAGTGGAGATGAGTCCCTAGCTGCTGTGTGAACTGTTCTGAGGACCCTGGTTGTAGCCTCTTCTGGAATCTTCTGAGACCTTGGTGTGGCCCCTATGGAAGTCTTGGGAGTTAGGAAGCCCCCTGATTCAGCTTTGCAGGAATTAACTTTGGAAATAGGAGGCTCCTGTCTTCTTTCATCTGTGGGAATGAGTGCCAGTGGGGAGGGAGTCTTGTCTGCTGCTTCCTCCTCAGGGGCTGGGGCGGTGCCTGGCAGAGCAGCACACAATAGTTATTTGTTAAGGGAAGGGATTAATGCCCTCTATACATGTAAATGCCAATGAGAATTTCCTCAGAGTAATTCTCAATACGATATTTTTTGAAAACAGGAAACATGCAGGATTTTGCATGCCTGCTTATAAATTCATTTTCCATAAAAAGAGCTGCGCAGAGCAGGGTAAAAATGGCTGTATTCACAAGTCCCTGGATGAGTTTCAGTTCAGCATTTAATGGCTTAGGAGGGACTTATTTTCTCCTAATTTTTGGTACTAAAGAAACACGTCTTACTGAAAAGGGCCGGCACAGTTTAGGAATTGTCAAACATGTTGTCCTGGATAATAATTTAGGACCCTTTGCAGAATGTACACTCATCAAATGAAAATCTCCTTTCAGATTAACCACCTCATTTACCCTGGGTGCTCAGTTCTAAGGGCAGAGATCAAAGACACACAGACCTTCAGGGGAAGGAGAATAATGAAAAAAGTAAATGATTCACATCCCATTTACGCTTCTAACTGTCCTTATTGAAAAATCTTGGCCATAGGTAAATAAAAATATATTTGAAAGTTATGAGCCAGGTTCAACTGCTGCGATCATGCCAATCAATCGAGATTTTTGGAGGCTCTTCTGGGGAGGGTCAGAGGAGCAGGGTCCTGAGACATGCCAGCTGGCCTTTTTGCATCTCCAGGCCCTGCCTCTAGGCTTCTACAGGCCTCTCCCTGGTGTACTCTCCACTTGCTCATGGGCTCTAGCTCTCAGGCTCTGTGCTATCCATGCTTCTGCTTACACTGCAGGGAACTGAACTGGGGGGGGGGGGGGTGCCACCCCAGTCAATAGCTTCTGATCTGATGGGGTTTTAGGTCAACAACTACTCGATTCACCCCAATGAGCCAAACCAATTCGACACCCTAGAGTTCTTTTTTTTTTTAAGATTTTATTTATTTATTTATTTAAAGTAAACTCCATGCACAATGTGGGGCTTGAATTTAAGACCCCAAGATCAAGAGTTGCATGCTCCACAGACTGAGCCAGCCAGGTGTCACCCCCCACACTCCTTGGAGTTATTCTTGAGTTTCCTTTCTCACAGCACACAATGAATCTACCAGCAAATGTTATCAGCTCTACCTTGAAAATAAATCCTAAATCCTGAAACTACTCATATTTCCCAACACCACTCACTATTCTGGGTAAAGCCGCTGTTGCTTCTCATGAGGGTCTTTCAACAGTCTCCAACCAGCCTCCCTGCTTTTCCTCCTGACCTCCATTGTTGTCCTCTACTCAGCAGCCCAGAGGCTCAGACAACCTTTTAATATGTAGGTCACACCATGCCTCTTCCCTTCCCCACAAGTGGCACTCCATTGTGCTCAGGGTGAGACCCCACGTCCTGACCATGTTGGCTGGGTCCCACATGACCTGTCTCCAGCTGCCTGCCTCTCTCTGGTCTCCCCCTGCTCCTCACATTTGATAAGCACTTTCCCATCTCAGGGCCTTTGCACTGCTGCTCCTGGGGCCTGAAAGGATTTCCCTCCAGTTACTCTTATGGCTCAAGTCTGCTCTAATGTCACCTCCACGGGGCTGCTCATATCACTCTACCTAACTCAGCACCCCACATCTTTTCCCCTTATCCTCCTTCATTTTTCTCCAGAGTAGGGCTGCCTACCTGACATCTATGATTTATTATCTGCTTGCTGCTCACCTTCTCCATGGGGGTGCGGGCTCCCCCAGGGCGGGAGTTTTGCTTTGCCCACAGCAGTGCCTCTAGTACTTAAGTGGGGGTGCATGGCTCACAGCCCTACACAATAAATGCTAAACGAATGGACGAGTGTGGAAACATCTGTAATAAAGCACACTAAAACAAACTAAAAATTAAATTGTTACAAAAGTGAGCCATATTTATGAATTTTCAAAACATTCTTTTCTGTCCTGACCAGCTGCCTAACATCTATGGTCCAGTTATATAAAATGTTGGTTTCAAAAAAAAAAAAATGTTGATTTCATGTGCCATCCACCACGGGACACTCTGGCTGGCTGTTGAGGAGACCTGAAACAGCTGGGGCAGGAGGAAGACCATGGTGCACGGGGAGTAACACCGAGACTAACTCTGAACATGCCTTATCTGAGGCTGTAAGAGTCACAGCTCCATGAGCTCATGTAGACCTGTGAGCTGATGGTGACACCACATAGTAAAGGAGGCTCAGAGAAGGACCTGGTCCTGGGGAAGCCAGGTACAGGAGGTGGGAGGGGCCACTGGGCATTCAGAGTGGAGACAGGCATGAGACAGAATACTGGCAGGCCTGGGGCCTGCAGGGGGCTTCATGGGAGCGGTGCTTCCATATGTGGTGGAGAGGCAGGTGGGCTCCGGCAGTGAAGGGCTTCACCGGCAAGGCGAGCGGACATCCTGGCTTCCCTGGGACAATTCACACCTGTTGTTCCTGGTGCTAACGTTAACTGTGCCCCTTTTATGAATACTTCAGAGTGTCTCAGTAGGTTAATAGAGGCAACCTAATTATAAGGCACATTAAGTAGTCAGAACTTGATCTTGAAGGTTCTAGGGAGCCAGTGAAGAGTTCTGGGTTCCCTTTGAGAGAGAATATTGTGGAGGCTGGACTGGGGCTTGTGTGTGTGTGTGTGTGTGTGTGTGTGTGTGTGTGTGTGTACAGGGAAACCAATTTCAAGGCTACTGCAGTGATTGAGGTAGAGAAGCTGGCCTTGCCAGGTAAGGAGAGTCATGGATGGTCTGATTAGAAGGAAGTTTCTGGAGGGTTCGGTGTTTGATGTGAAGGGTGAGAAACCGGAACCAGAGTCGAAGTAGCACCCAGATTTCTGAATGAGGCAATTGCATGGACAGAACACAGAAAGGTGGAGCAGGTCTGGAGGGAGCCAAATGAAGAGCTTGGCTCTCCCTCCTCACTCTTACCAAGCTATGTATGTGGGACAAGAAAGACCAGGAGGCAGGAGGGTATCAGAGCCACCGACACAGGTTGCTGTTTGGCACTTTACTAAAGCCAAATGTTGGATAAAGTTGCTTAAGCACAGTTTCTATGAGGACAAGATCCTTTTAGAATCAGTCGGGAACAACAGCAACATTTATTTATGAAAAGTCTTAAAAATAACAACTACATTTTGAAGTAGAGTGTCATTTCTAAACCTAAGAGGGACTCAACGCTTACACAAGACCTTGGAGAGAATCTCTTTCCCTCTGTGACAAAATGAGGAAGATCTTCTATTATTTTTTTTTAATTTTTATTTATTTATGATAGTCACAGAGACAGAGAGAGGCAGAGACACAGGCAGAGGGAGAAGCAGGCTCCATGCACCGGGAGCCCGATGTGGGATTCGATCCCGGGTCTCCAGGATTGCGCCCCGGGCCAAAGGCAGGCGCCAAACCGCTGCGCCACCCAGGGATCCCAGGATCTTCTATTATTGAATACAGACTCTCTCCCCTCACTCTGCAAATCAGGCTACCAAGAGTCAGGGACATCATGCGACACACCTAGGATGGCAGTGCTGGTGAGGGAAACTGACGGGGATGGAGACGGGCTTTCTGAGTGCCTGGCGGGGCCACCATTCCCAGAAGACACTCTTTGAACGGTCAGGCTGTGGCCTGCACCTCTGGTCCGCTGCAAGACACGGAGGGCAGAGCCGCCAGGCTGCACCCCACTCAGTGCGACGGCGACCGCGGCCACCAAGGACTCCAGCGGCCTAACGATGGCTCTGGGGGCAGCGGGGCGTGTGGCATCCGACGCCCAGCGAGAGCGGGGCTTCTACAGCCCTCTCGCCTTGCTGAAGGACCCCCGCATTTATGAGAGACGCCACCTCGCATCAGAGAGCAGCACTGTCCTCTGTCCTCGGAGGGCGAGGCAGCGCCAGCGGCCCAAGAGAAGCGAAAGAAGATGCAGCCTGCGCGCCTGAAGGGCTCTGGAAGGAAGGCGACCTCGCCGAGAAGGCAAATACTCTGAGGAGGAAAATTCAGACGTGGAGACCTTCGAGAAGATTCCAGCGGCTCAAGGAAAGCTTCCTGGCACT